TTTTTGTTTTTAACAGTATTATTAATTTTCCATGAAGCAGTTTTGTCAATTTGGAGATGCCCCCTTTCCTTTCCTTTTCTCCCGCTCCATTTTCCCTTCCCACGGTTTCCCCAACACACACCATTTCCCCCCATATTATTACAGTAGGATAATACTTCAGTAACAGTTACAAGTTTAACATTCTGCTATCTCACATCTTTCTAATGGATATTTCTTGATACTAATTACAAATTGGCACTATTTGGAGTGAGTTTGGCTTTCTTAGTGATTAGTAAATTGGCATCTCAGTTATCTGGCTGAAGCAATGTATCAGTTGAACTTTAATTGTTAATTTGTTTTTTCCTAAGGTAATACTACTATTTAAATTTTACTTGGTGGTAAGAATTACAGGGAAAAAAAAGGTATTTTCCCTAGGTACTTCTTAATCATTGGAAAATACATTTGTTAAACTTCATTATTTTAATCATTCATTTTTAAGTAATATTCAGGCGAACAGTTTATCTGCAGTGAGTATGTGAGTATGGACATCACCAAGTCTTGATTTTTGTATAGGTGCAAATTGGGAAGGAGCAAATTATTCAGATAGAATTTTCCCCACCCTAGACAAAGAGATCTCACGCAGTTTGTTGTGCACAACGTAATACAGCCATTTTTGAAGACCATAGGGCATTTCTCAATCAATTAAAAATAGAGCTACCTTGTTACCTAGCAATCCAACGCCCAGTCCTAGGTGTATATCCAGTGAAAGTGAAGCCATTGTACCGAAGAGAGGTCTATACTGCTTATTGCAGCACTGCTCACAGTACCCAAGAAATGATAACAATCTCAGTGTCCATCAGCTAGTAAAGGATGAAGAAATGCAGTGTGTGGGTGTGTGTGTGTGGCATTTCTTCTCTGCCCTGTCATTTTTGTCCACACTGTCCAGGTTTTTCCTCCCTATTGCCCACAACAATAGGCTCCAAACTTGTCTTTCTGAGTTTTGATTCTGTGCTGAATAATATGATTCTGTTCAGTTTACTCCCCTAATTGTAACTGTAGTGTGTGTGTATATACACAGAATATATATACACATACATACACACAACATGCATATATATGGGTATATATGTTTGTGTATAGTGTGTGTGTGTACACACCCAAAAGAGTATCATTCAATCATAAAAAGAAAGAAATCCTGTCATTTATAACAACATGGGAAGAACTGGAGAAGATTATTTCAAGTGAAATAAACCAGACACAGAATGACAAATAATTCCTTATGTTCTCACTGAATTATAAAGAACTTGATCTCATGAAAGATGGGCAGTGACCAGTAGGGTCACTGTAGGTAACAGTAAGTGTTGAGTTATTACAGACTGTTGGGAGAATTTTGAATGTGTCTCCACCAAAAGGAAATGATAAATGATAGAAGGAAATGATATCTGGGAAGATATATATGACAGTCCTTATTTAGACATTGCATGTGTATTAGACATTGTATGATATGTATGAGTATTAAAACAACATGTAGTGACCCACAAGTATGTAATTTAAACAGGAAAAAATGAAGTATTCCTTCTTATAAGATAGTGTTATCATGTGTCAGAATTCTATCCCTCTTTTCACAAAATCTTCCTTACATTCCAACAGAAGGGCTCACCTCTCCAGGAGTCCTTGTGGTATCCACAAATCCTTGTTTTATATCTGCTGCACTCAGGTAGTATTCTAAGAAGCAGTGTTGCCAAAGATACCCAAGAAATGATCCTTGACTATGAACACCAGTGGCAGAAAGAAACTGTGAGGCTATTATCTTCACCCTACATAAAATATGAGTGAGGTGCCTTGGAGAAGGGAAAGAACAAGGACTTGATGACCTGAAGATCAAGGGGTGTCCTTCCAGGGTAGGAAACTTTTGACGCTGGCCCATGGAAGATGAGGTGTTGAAAGGAAGAAGTCTTGGCGTGTTCAGGAATGGAGAGTTGTGCAATACTGTTGAAGCCCCAGGTGCAAGGAGGGAGTGAAATGAGATGAGCTTAGAAATATAGTTTGGAGCCAGGCAAGGAGTAAGCTTAAAAACTGGGCCAGGGATTTAAGAATTCACCCAGTATTTCAAGCAGAGGTATTCAAGGTTATTTTAAATATCAAGGTAAAAGTGTTTATTTATTTACTTAAAGGTAGAAAGATAAAGGTCTCTCAACTGCCAATTTACTCCCCAAATGCCTGTAGCAACTGGGGCTTGGCCAGGCTGAAGCTTGAAGCCAGAAACTCAATGCAGGTATCCCACATGACTGGCAGGGACCCAACTGCTTGATTCATCTCCTGTTGCCTCCCAAGACACATGTTAGCCAGAAGCTGGACTCAAACCCAGGCACGCCAACTGGAATGTTGATGTCCCAAAACACATTAATGACCAATCTCCAAAAGAAAAATGTCCATCTCCAAAGAAAAAAATAACACTTTTAAAAATAACTTTTGAAAGTTACTTTGGTTGTAGAGTGAAGTATAGGTTAGGAAAGACTAAAATTATAGATAGAATTTAGGTTAACCTGTGAACCTACAAGTATCATGTGTATTTCCCTAATGTCACTGGCCACATTGTTTTTTTAATTAGAGATATTTATGTGTATGTCTTTCCTATTAATGCCTCCTGGAGTTGGGCCCTGAGTGATCTTTTAAAGGAATGAAAGAATTTTGTAGCAGTTGCTGTCAAACACCCAACAGTTCTTGGAAGTTGCATGTATGGCACAAATTACTCAGTAGTCAAAATTTTCTTTCCATAATTCTTTCCAGGTGTTAAAGGAGATAAGGCATTAATCCAGGTTTGACCATTTCATCCATTTGGGGAGTGAGCCTACATTTGGAAACTCTCTCATTGTCTCTACCTCCACCCCCTCTCTACCTTTCAAATAAGTAAACAGATCTTTTAAAAAGAAGAGGAAAAAATACTTGCCTCTTCAGTTCCATTTTTCTGTAATATTCTTTTGCCAAAATCACAAAAATCATATCTTCAGGTATTAAATGTCCTATCCTCAAGGAAGCCCTCCTTTATCTTCAAGTGTTACATAGTTCTCTATTTTGCCTTCTCCAAAGTACACTGTTATCTTAATTTATTGTTGATTTTCTGTTCCCTAACTAGGCTATACATTTAATTAGATCAAGTACTTTGGCTATGGTAGATAGTTCTGACTTACATATCTGCCAGTTTAAAACAGTTTCTGGAGTTTAGTGCACAATATATATTCCCTATGTATTTATCCAAGGATTGGGTGAGTGAAAGGATAAATCCATGCCGTTCTGTACTCCCATCCTGTTGAAGGGCTTGCTTTTCGCTACTGACAACACTGGAGGGGAATTGGCTGACAACATAATCTGTTGGACCCAAACTTTTTATAACCAAATATTTACTTGATAAGAAGAGGAACTCACAGACATTTCTTGCTCCTCTTACTTAAGATTACTGCATTACATCTCAGCTTGTGATTCATATGTAGTACCTATGAGAAGTGGTTAATTTATAAGTAAACATTTCTGATAAATTATCTTTAGAATTTTGCCTTTTTTGTGCATTCATGTGTTGGCCAGTTTTGGTAAGATATTAGAGTTCATGCCAAACAGACATTCTTTCTGGCTGTTTTGTTGATTTGTGATACAGCAGATGTTTAAAAATGCGTGATTTATCTGATAAATTAATGAATTCGTACTCTCTTCACACACAAAATAATGATCCTGGAAGGGTAAATTCTTCCATTTTTTCCTCAAAGCAGATTTTTCTCTTGTGGTTTCAGAGTGGCCTTTTGGGAAGTGTGATCTTCCTTTGTCTTGGTAGAGTCTGAGATGACCAACTTTGTCACTAGCATATTAACCTCTTCTTTTCTCACTGCCTCCCGCATCTAAGAAAAGCTTGCTGATTAATTAACTCCTAAGCTAGAGATTGAGGAAGCTAGTGGCCTGAGAAGGAATTTTAAGTACATTTCTCGGTGTTCTGTGAAGAAGGTGCATGATCTTAGCTCAGTTCATTAACGTGGTGAAAACTGTGTGAAGGAATTCATATGCTTCTGAATTTTGGAGGGAGCAAAGTGGTTCCAAAGCAACCTGCCTTTTTCCTTGATCCTCACCGTCCCCAAAGCCATCACAGAATGGAATTGAAGAGAAAAATGTTTGATGAGCACAATTTTAAGACCTTCTAAGCATCACTGCTTGGCTTAATAAAATTAATTAGTTTGCCACAGAGAAAATTTACTAGCATGCTGGTTGATTTCACAATGTAAAGTCAGAGAAGGAGAGGAGAGTTGCAAGGAACAAACCTTACTCATTTTGAATAATTATTTAAAGATGTGGGCTTTACCTGATTCAAGTACTTTGATAGCCAAATCTATTTAGGCTTTAAAATTGCAATTTTTTTTTATCACAAGATATATGAGAAGGAACCTCTTGAGGTGAAATCATGATCAAATTAGTGAAACAGCTATGTCATCTATTTAAAATAGAGCACAAGAAATGTAAGCCATTGGAATGAGCACTTGCCTAAAGAGTAGATGGTTCATGGAAAGTTTTTATAATCTTAACTTGTCATTGATGCGATTATTGCATTTTTCTTATCTTTTTATCTCAACAAGATATTTGCAGTGGCTGTGGTAAGGTGCCTGAAATCACATACTTGAATTTGTTTAACTTGTAATGTATTTTCTCTCTGTCTTTCTGGTAAATGGACAAAACTCAGTTCTGATGCATTAGGTGCTGAATCTTTTCAATTACCAGCAAGAAGAAAGATGTAACATTATGTTTCAAAACTGCAAGCTGATTTAGTCTTAAATTAAATTAATTTTCCTAAATTAAACTGCAGATAAGACACAGAGCCTGAGGAATGCATTAGGCATAGGCAAGTAATGAGAATCATTGTGGTGTCTTTCTTTGGAGCCTCCTGGTGTGAAGAGAAAGAGAGTAGAAACCAGTGTAGGAAGCCTGGGCATGAACTCTAACCAGATCTCTCTCTCTGCTCTCTCTTTCTGGGTGTTTGACAGCCATTTTCAATGTGGATGACTCTGTGGTTGACCTGGAGACCCTCGCAGCTTTGTATGAAAACGTGAGTATCAAAGACATACAGAGCTGGAGTTTCCATGTTTCTCTCCTACCCCCTAATTCATTGGACCATCTGTTTTCTTTGGTCGTATTTCGGCCTGTCTTGGACAACGTAAGAAACAGAAATGCAAGCCTGAGAATGGACATGATGGGCACTGGATTGTTAACTCTTACCATGCTTGCCTGTGTTAATCAATCTCATGGCACATCTGCAAATCAGTATGGTTCGAGGTCAAGACCAACTACCTTTGTACCCTAGAACTCAACTCTGTCATGTGCTGGCAGTGAATGAAGTTGAGCTTCCTGGTTAATGTTGATCTATACCAGCATCTTCCTCTGAGGAATGAGAAGTTAATACCAGCTCGGATGATGACTCTTACTGCAAATAAATTGATGTTGTTTTATGAGGGAAGCAGTATAAAATGGGAGGGGGTGGGATTCTTGAATTTAAAATAAAATGGTCTTCGGTTTCAGGTAGAGCTTCATCATTGCCTATTAAGTGATCTTGGACTAGTTACTTAAGCTTATAGATAATCAGAGTAATGGGAATCACAGTGGGCTCCACCTGATTGTTTTGTAGTAAACGTGCATTTAACATGTAACAGTTGTAATGCATTTTGAAAGTAAGCGGTACCACACACACATATAAGGCCTTTTAATTTGAGTCATAAATAGAGAAAAAAAAAAACCCAGCAGAATCAGTAGACTCTCTTGAGAAGATGATACCAGCAAGTGTGAATTCCCACAAGTATTAGCTGTTCTTGGTTTGCCAACCACTGGGATGAAAAAAGATTGAACTAAAAGTCTCTCTCCCCAGGAAATTGCTTGGGGCTTTATGGTATGCCATGGTCACCCAGCTCCAAAGATGATTCATTTCCACGTTTTTGTCTTCTGGGACTTTAAATCTCTTACAGAAAATTTCCGGTCTGATTCTATATCTGGTGGGATTATTAGATACCTACTCATTTTCACATCCTTTATATACCTCAGGAACTCTTTTGTGCAGGCTGGTGGAAACTTTTTCTACATTTCCATCAGTAAAGCTTTCAAAAATTAAGCAGTCCAAAGGCACTGGGACATCAAGGGGTGATGGTGAATTTGTTGAGTACCTGGAGAGTGGTGTGATTCAGTGGGAGAAAGGACTCCTAGAAGAAGCCCTTCACCAGTTACTTAGCTAATGCCTCAGTAGGATTCTATATGAAATATGAATACAGTAATTGATGTTACATGATCCTATTGGAAGCAGAGCACCTTCCAGATGCTTCGTGTTGTCAGCATGAACTCAGAGCATTGCACATGGTGCATGCATGGTAGCACACTGTAGAAGCCAGCTAGGTTCAACTAAATACCAAAATAAATTGTCCAGACGATGGGTACTGATGAAATTCATAACAAAGGAAAACAGTGGGAGAAAGAAATTAGTAGCCTGTATAAGTTAGAAAGGCTAGTCTGAGGGTATGAAAACAAATGCTAAGGGCAGCTTGTCTCATCTGCTCACATCTGAAGAGACAGGAAATTCAAAGATAGTGATTAAGTGTCCTGGGTTGTTTGTTTGTTTGAGTATGCCTGTAGTGACCATTTCTGTTAGCAGGGTGTTACGACACACCCCTGCCTGCATTGGAATCATTGGGAGGCTTCCAGATCACTACCTCTGGAACTTCTTGGGTCTGAGGTCAGGTTGAATTTACATTTCCAGCCAAGTGACACTGCTGCTCCTGTTTCTAGACTAGAGACTTATCCCTGAGGACCCACAGCCTTAGACAGATCCTCACTGCTTTTTGTTTTGGTTTTCAATGTAGAGAGCCCAAGAAGATGAATTGGTGAAAATAAGAAAGTACTATGAGACATCCAAAGAAGAAGAGTTGAAACTGCTGGATAAACCCGAACAGTAAGGATGCTTGCGTCACCTTCTTGTTAGGCTGAAAGAAAAACGGTGGTTCCTGTTCGTGCCTCCCAGTTCTGAATGATCAGCTCTATTGTGCAGTGAGCAAAGTCACAACACCATCATCCCAGTGACCTATTACACACAGCAGAATGATCCAGCTGCTGGGAAGGGCAGTGCTGAGATTTGCGTTGCTGGATGCAATGTGTCTCACCCCACCCCCTCTCTCCCACCCCATACAACTCCCCGTTCTTGTTCTAGCAACTTGTTAATTCCTCCTAGACTAAACATTTTTAGCCAAAAGGGTAACCAAGGAAGGAAGAAGGCATTGCTCTGTTTAAGCTTCTGCTGATGCAGTTAAAATGATGATATCAGAGTCACAGAATTCAAATTTATCTTCCCAAGTGTCATATTCAGTAAATGGAGCAGAATTGTGCCAGCATCTTCCTAAATTTCTCCACGTACACTGGCCCAAAAAGTGGGACTTTTTCATCCACACACCGAGTGTGCTTGTTCTTCTCTCCATTCACTATCTAGAGTTGCTTGCTCTGACCTTCGGAAGATCATCTCACAGGCTGACGTAGTCACTCCCATCCTTGCTCCGCAGCCGTCATGAGAAATGTGTTTGGGGATTTTTGGCTCCAGGGCCTGCTCAGTTTTTCAGAGGCTCAGGACTCAGTGTACAAATTAATAGGGGCTTCTTTTTTCAGCTTGGACACCTCATGTCTAGTACAAAGGTATGCTCTCAGCCTAGAGATTAATCAGTTGTAGAACACAAAGCAGTAGAGTGATCATGGTCAGGGTGACAAGCTGATTTGCAAAGCCTCCAGTGTTCTGTGAGCTGCACTGAAGCCTCCATGCCCTGTGCTTGGGTCCTACAGAACACCACAACCCTCTTGGAGACATGGGTGTGCAGACCCAGAAAAGCATTTAGGATCAGAATTATAGATTTACTCAGTTATTGGCAACTTTCATGATAATCCTGGGAACCTTATTTGAGCTACTATCACATGAAGCGTGGCCAATACCCACTTGTCTTTGGCCAGTGTTAGTTCACAAAACCTCTGATTATCATAAATCAATTCAAATGGGTTCCCTTGCCTTTGTGTTCCACCCCTAACTGACCGTTTCTAATATAATAACTTGTTGCTAAGTTATAATGACTAAGTGAAGAGACTGATAATTAGATAGTTAAGCATTAACAAGGTCATGCAGAATAGGTAAGCATATGAAGAATTTGGGTAGTGCCAGTTTTGCAAAAGTAGACATCAATACCCTAAACCTGAATGGAAAATGTTTTTTAAAAGTTCTGTTTATTTGCTTGAAAGGCAAAGTTAGAGAGAGAGAGAGAGAGAGAGAGAGAGAGAGAGAGAGAAAGATCTTTCATCTGATGATTCACTTTCCAAATGGCTACAATGGCTGGGCCTGGATCTGGTGGAAGCCAGGAGCCTGGACCTCCACCCAGATTTCCCATATTGGTGACAGGAGCCAAAGTATCTGGGCCATCTTCTGCTGCATTCCCAGGTGCATTAGCTGGGAACTGTATTGAACTGAAACAGCTGAAATTTGAAGTGGTACTCCAGTATGGGATGCTAGCATCATAGTGGCTTAACCTGCTGCACCAAAAAAGTCAGTTCCTCAAATGGCATACCTTTTCTGTAAAAGATCAGATAGTATGTATTATTTTGAACTTTGTTACAACCATTCAAGTCAATTATTATAGTGCAAAAGCAGCCATCAATAACATAATAAACAAATGAGTATTTCTTTGATAAAAGTTAATTTGTGAAAACTAAAATTTGAATTTTATATCATTTTTACTTGTCATAAAATATGATTCTTCCATTGAGCATTTCTTCAAGATTTTAACAATAAAATCCTATCTTAGTTCACAGACCAACAAAGTAAGTGATGAGCTTGATTTGGCCTGTAAGCGATACCTTGACAACCCTTGAACCACTCTGTAGCCCTTGTTCTCAGCTCTGGAAACAGCTGACCCAGTGAGGTGCACACTGTGCGGTGTGTGTTTCTACAACTAGAAGCATTCGCCTTTTCCTTTTGCTTCTTTTTTTCCTCTGGCGATATTTTTCAAGAATATTTGCTAAGATATAGAATAAATGTGGTCAGTAAATTAGTATGGAGCATATTCCTGTTTCTTTTACTGATGATGATCAAAAAAAAGCATTTTTACAGTTGGTGAGTGACTTCCTGGACTTGCACTGTTATGACTGATAGCCAAGAAGACTGTCATGTTGTGCTGCGGAGGTGATGGGCTCAGCTGTTGCAGAGGGAGACATGGAGAAGCAAAGGCCCAGAACCTCAGTGAATTTTACCTTTCCTCCCAACTTCCCACACAGGCTCACATTTGTTTGATTTATGACAAAGTAAGATACTCTGGCAATTTATTTGTCATAAACTCCAAGTGAGTCAAGTATAAGCATGTTCTACATACTGGAAAATATGAATCATTTATAGTTTTAGCATGACAATTTCCTAAGAGTCCTATGGTGCCCAGTCCTATAAATCACAGCATGGAGAGACTAGCCTCATCACTCACCTCATCAGCTCTCTTACATCCCAGTGCCAAATTTACACAGAGCTGTTTTCTCCTGAGGACCACTCCTTCTAGAGAGTCGCTCTGCATGTCTGTGAGCTGCTGCCTTGAAGGATGCCCCGTGTCACTCTTTGTTTCTTGAATAATGATGGGGGTGACATGATGCAGTCCTTACCAGATTGGATTAGGCCTGATGTACATTTGCCATAGCCTAGAGTGAGGATATAACACAGAGCGTATTGGGATTCTCTGCATGGATTCATGGCTATGTATGAACCCCCACAGACTAGGCTGTGCTAGTGTACTTCTCCATGAATGAAGAAAGGTTGCAGCGTGAAATTATGTGTGTATGCAGTCCTATGCCAGAATGCCATTCGGTGATTTGGGCATGATAAACCAAATATTACACTTTTGAAAGCAACATTACACCTGATGGCTGAGTTGTGACTGCAAATTGATAACCCCAAACAGTGAGAGGCACATATATACACATGAAGTTGTAGTCCTTTTTTTGGAAATAAACTTGTACAAGGCAGAAGAGGTAAAGGGAAAAGATAACTTATTTATGCCTTCTTCAGAGAGTATTTGACCCTCTGTTATTGAAACCGAGAGTATAAATTTAGACTATTGCAAAAATAATTAATAAGCACCAAACACCAGTGTTCAAGATCCCGTGCTTGGGGATATGTAAGAGTTGCTATATCCATTTTGTGTGTGTTTAGATTGCAAAACACAATTGGTGTAACATTTAAGATATTTATTAGGTACTTGCTTTTCATAGATTTTGAGATAATCGGCCTCTCTTGTACTTCTCCAGATAAATGCAAAAGCAGCTACAGTACTTTGCTGCAAGACAAGGCTATATGGGGGAAAAATGACACAAAATCATATTTTCTCCAAATTTCTTCCCCAGTATTTTTAATTTTCACATTCTTCCAGATATCCAAGCCAAAAACCTTGGAAGTCATTCTGAACTTCTCTCAGCACCCATAGGATCTTATTTTACTTAGATATTGCTAGCCTTATAGCTTTCTCATCCATTTACCGCACTGTGTTCACATTGCAGGCCCTCTTATCTTCCTTTTTGGAGGAGGTCTTCTGCAACTGATTAAGCCAACCATCTCCCTTATTTCATTGGCACCTGGTGTGCAATGCCTGCAAAGAGCAGCTTCCATGGTAGTATATGCAACCTGTTGCTTGTATGGGTTGCCCTGAGGGACCTTGGAGACAGTCCTTTAAAGTAGCCATTCCTGCATCTTACTTGATGCTGTTCCTCATCTAGGCTACAGACAGGTATGTGGGATGCTTTTGGAAAATCCCAAAGCAGTGTAGCCAAGGTTCACATTGGCCAAGTCTTCATATGGATCTGTACCAAGCTAAAGAACAAGGAACATCTGGTTAAGGCCCCTATGCAGGGCCAGGTTCAAGTTCTCTGGTCACCAGAAGATCTGCATCTCAAAGAAATGGGGCTTTGCTAAAGTTAATAAGGATGAATTTGAAGACATGGTGGCTGAAAAGCAGCTCATCCATGATGGCTGTGATTTAAAATGCATCCCCAATCATGGTCCCTTGGACAAGTGGTGAGCCCTCCACTCATGAGGCCTCTGCTGGTCTGTGCCCTTTAACCTGATCAATAATAAATGTGATTTCTGTTAAAAGAAAAAAAACAAGTTTAAACTGACTTGGAACACATAATCCCACTTTAACATCTATGTTCTACTCCACTTCCCTTGCACATAGCCTTCAGCCTGCCGTGGCATGTTGTCGTGGTGTGCATGATGCATAGGCATCATAAGGCTGAAGCTCTCACTGACTTGTATGTCCAGGGTCCTGAATCCAGTGTGCTGGCAGGATCTTCCAAGGCTCCTCTTGGGGACCCTGTTAATAGCACTTAACTACACTTCATACTAATCATTGATTTACTTCTCAGGTTATCAAGAATGAATTGTGTGTAAGTCAAAAGCTCTTCCCAAGTTCTTAGTGTGATATCTGATGCATTGAATGCTTCGTATACACCTAAAGGATTGAAGAATGATCTTAATGACTGATGATCTAGCATTAATTTTCTGTTACATGATTCTGTCCCAAAGTAATGTATAATAGATGACCTTCTCCTCCCATTCAGCCCCATAGATGTGTTTCAGACCCTTTTCTACACAGAGGACATTTTTCATCTTTCCAGTACAAGAACCTATTCCATTAAGGCCTTTATTTTAGAAAGTCTTGCAGCTCTACTTCTATTTATTTGTTCATTTAGGGTTTTTTTTGTTTGTTTGTTATAATTACTCACCTGGCATTTTCTCCTTTTTATCTCTGAACTTATTAGCGAGCTGAATCATCCATCTGTATGCTCTGTCATGTAGTCTCTGTGACTGCTTCACTCACTATATTCAAGAAAGAAGTGCCCTGAAAATCTTGGTTTTAGGGGAATGGGAATGGTGTCTCGGGGTCACATTTGGGATGAAGTAGGGGGCCAAATGCAGGGTCCTTTTTCAAGATCGCTTTTAGCATCCAAATAAATAATCTTATCAAGCCTCAACCCAGGACCCAACAATGTCAGTCATAGAAGTGTTCACTGCTCAGATTTATTTATTTTTTTTTTTTTTTTAAAGATTTATTTTTATTATTTTTTCATTGGAAAGGCGGATATACAGAGAGGAGAGACAGAGAGGAAGATCTTCCATCCGATGATTCACTCCCCAAGTGAGCGCAATGGGCCAATACTATGCCGATCCAAAGCCAGGAGCCTCTTCCGGGTCTCCCACGCGGGTGCAGGTTCCCAAAGCTTTGGGCCGTCCTGGACTGCTTTCCCAGGCCACAGGCAGGGAGCTGGAAGGGAAGCGGGGCTGCCGGGATTAGAACTGGCGCCCATATGGGATCCCGGGCATGCAAGGTGAGGACCTTTAACCACTTGCGCCACCGCGCCGGGCCCTGCTCAGATTTTTTTAAAGATTTATTTATTTTTTATTGGAAAGTCAGATATACAGAGAGAAGGAGAGATAGAATGATCTTCCGGCCAATGATTCACTCCCCAAGTGAGCGCAACGGCCGATGCTGTGCCGATCCAAAGCCAGGATCCAGGAACTTCTTCCAGGTCTCCCATACAGGTGTAGAGTCCCAAGGCTTTGGGCCGTCCTCGACTGCTTTCCCAGGCCACAGGCAGGGAGCTGGATGGGAAGTGGAGCTGCCGGGATTAGAACCAGTGCCCATATGGGATCCCAGTGCGTTCAAGGCAAGGACCTTAGCTGCTAGGCTACGCCGCTGGACCCTGCTCAGATATTTGTTAGAATTGGTGTTAGTTCAAATTCTAGTCAATGGAAGGGATCCAGCTATTTAACACTGTATTTTTGAAGGTGTAATTTAATATAGATTAATTTTCATATTCCAATCCAGAATCCTGTGGAGTTCTACTTTTATCTTTATTGTGATTTTCTTCATAACCCCAGTTGTAGAACTTTAAGACGAGAATATGTTTTCCTTTATGGGTATTCTTCAATGTCAGTTTTTAAAATGTGGTAAATAAATGAGTTATAAGCAAGAAGATAACTTAAAGGAAGTGTATTAATATCTAGCCTCCTTAAAAGTAAAGAAAGCGCGGAGTATAAGAAGGACACTCCAACTTCGTTCCTATGTAAATCCATTCTTAATGAGAAGGTGGCAGAGTTTCAAGGTAATGATTTTTTGAGTTGATCAAGACTTTTGGAAAATCAGTTAATCATCATTTCAGCTCCAAACTGAAGTTAATGATTGTTAGTGTATTCTCTTCTGAATTCATGTCCAACTGTCTCCACTCATTTTAGTTTATGTACTTTCCTCTTGTGGTTGGCTTGGAGAGTATGTAGCTCTTCCAGCTTAATTTTGCAAAGGATACCAGTGCCCAGCTACTCAGACAGTGAGCTACTGTGTATAGGCCAGTCTTCACATTGAGCTTCTAAGATCTGTCTTGCCATATTAAAAAAAAAAATACCTTAAGGTTGTCTACTTAATGAGTACCTGTTCTGTTCCAAGTACTGAACTATGAACTGTGTCTATATCGGTAAGCTGATGTGAGAAAGTAAACAAATATCTGGAGAATTTCATCATTATTGACCACTGTGTCATTCATTGGGCAGAAATAGTAGCTCGGTGTAGTGAGAGCATTTTTTTCTAATCACTTGTCAGTAGAAATTTTCCTGAAGACTTTGCTGCCGCTTCTGTGAGCAGAGCAAATAACACCTCTAGAGAACTGCATTATGAGAGAGTGTATTATAAAATTTTTAAGTAGTAAAAACTAGGATTTTTCCATTCAAATTAACTCTTTTGTTCGGTGTGCTTGCATTAACTTCCTGTCCTTAAAGTAATTTACACACAGTATATTCACTGGCCATCTTAGGAATCCATAAAAACATGGCCATGGGGCCCAGCACGGTGGCGCAAGTGGCAAGGTCCTCGCCTTGCACACCCGGGATCCCATATGGGCGCCGGTTCTATCCCGGCAGCCCCGCTTCCCATACAGCTCCCTGCTTGTGGCCCGGGAAAGCAGCTGAGGACGGCCCAAAACCTTGGGACCCTGCACCCGCATGGGAGACCCGGAGGAGGCTCCTGGCTTCGGATCGGCATAGTATTGGCCCGTTGCGCTCACTTGGGGAGTGAATCATCGGATGGAAGATCTTTCTCTCTGTCTCTCCTCTCTGTATATCCGCCTTTCCAATAAAAAAAAAATAATAATGAAAATAAATCTTTAAAAAAAAACATGGCCATGGAAATGGCATTTGAAGTAGAGGTGAAACCACCACGAGACATCTGCACTCCATTTTGGAATTACTGCAATAGGTGACAGCTCAGGTAGTTGGGTCCCTTCCACCTGCTTGGGAGACCAATACTGAGTTCCTGGTTTTGGCCCGATTCATTTCTGGCTGTAGCAGGTATTCAGGAAGTAAACCAGTGGATGAGAACCCTGTTTCTATCTGTCTGCATTTCAATTAAATTAATAAAATTTGGGGGGTATTTTTTTAAAGCAGTGGTCCTGTTGTCCATAGTAGAATATATACCTACCTTGAGTTTCTTTCAGTTCACTATGTGAAATCTTTTATAATTTTAAAACAAAAATGGTTGTGAACATTGTAATGGCATATCATTGCTGCTGTTTGTTTTCCTTGTGGTTATAGGTGAAGTTAGGAGATGCATTTTGTTTTTGCAGATTTTTACATGAATTAGCCCAAATCCCAAATTTTGCTGAACGTGCTCAGTGCATAATCTTCAGATCTGTCTTCTCTGAAGGTATCACCTCTTTGCATCGAAAGGTAGAGATCATCACTCGAGCATCTAAGGTACGTTTACCACCTAATTTAAAAGGTAGCCTTGTTCTTATTGAACATGAAAGAGGAAGTGAATGAGACCAACGGTTGTTTTGGGATGAGTGGAGTGGGGGAGGAGTTATATATGATTTTCTAAATATAAATGTGATGAACATCCAAATCATATGTAAGTGTGTACATGTACGTATAGCAGAAGGAGAGTGAGAAAGTAGGGTACAGAAAGAGAGGGAGGAGGGAAGAAAAAAAGTTGCTTTTACAGATTTTTTTTTCTACAAATTCCAAGTATCTTCCAGTGGATACACTACCTGCTAAAAACTAATGTAAATGCATAGTTTGCTTTCTTTCTGATTGTCTAGATTGCAACAGAGATATTTGTTTTACACTCATGTATTAGATAATGTGATAATCTGAAATGTGTCTACACAGTAAACTTGAAGGTTTCCAGAGATAATGAAATAAACATGACAGTGAATGGCAAACTTATGCTGGCTTTACTACTGTATTGTTCATTATGAAGTTATATTCTAGTTTTTTTTTTTTTTCACAGTGACTAATGGTCCTTTCCACAAACATTGTAGTACTTAACTGTCTATCAGGAGGCAAGATTTTTCCCCCCTAAGTTTTGAATTTCAATGAAAAAGCAGAATATTGCAAAAGTATATGTACCTGCTAAGAAGCCTAGTACATATTGCCTATAGCCAAATTTTGCTTGCTTGCTTTATCTAAAATAAAGGGAAATGAAGTCACCCAAGATTATAGGAAAAATGTTTTAACTTGGGAATTTGCACTAAACAGAAACAAAGAAATAAAAGAGGAAAAGCACATGAGATAGCCAAAGAAATTCCCAAACATCTTCAAATTGTAAAAATTAATAGGCATGGGGCCCGGCGCAGTGGCGCAGTGGTTAAGGTCCTCGCCTTGCACGCCCGGGATCCCATATGGGCGCCTGTTCTAATCCCGGCAGCCCCACTTCCCATCCAGCTCCCTGCTTGTGGCCCGGGAAAGCAGTCGAGGACAGCCCAAAGCTTTGGGACCCTGCACCTGTGTGGGAGACCCAGAAGTGTCTCCTGGCTTCGGATCGGCATAGTATTGGCCCGTTGCGCTCACTTGGGGAGTGAATCATCGGACGGAAGATCTTCCTCTCCGTCTCTCCTCTCTGTATATCCGCCTTTCCAATTAAAAAAAATAATAAAAATAAATCTTTTAAAAAAAGTAAATAAAATAAAATTTAAAAACTAAAAAAATTAATAGACATGCAACGAACACTTAATAATCATTAAGTTTAATAAACTTAATAATTATAGCCCATGGCCTTAGCATGCATTGTTATAATTTCTTTCGGAGGATCATATCAAGTGATAAGGAAGGACAGGCTTACTAGTTTGTGTACTCTGCATTTACCTGTACTATTTACATAGCAACCCAACAGAACCTCAAAAAAGATTAAACGTCCTTCTGCTTAGAAATCATTAAAGGTCAAGATCAACTGTGCAAAGTCCATTTTTTCAATTTAATACTTTATTAAAAGTAAAATTGGCTCAAGTGGCAATGTAAATACTAATATCCTCGATTTTAAAACAAGAACTATTTGTAAAAGATTGAGTGAGTAGAAGATGATGAATGCTCATGTTTTAATACTTAGGACTAAGTCAAATGTATTTGTCATTTCTCCATCTGTCAGTCCTGTGGGTAAGAAGCCACTAGCCTATTGGGTACCTGACAAATATTTGCTGTTGAGGATGTCTAGAGTTCAGCTCTATAATCAGGTGTTTGTCATCACAGGGCTTGCTGCACATGAAGAGTGTGAAGGATATTTTAGCTCTCATTTTGGCTTTTGGAAATTACATGAATGGAGGAAATAGAACTCGGGGACAAGCAGATGGATATAGCTTAGAAATTCTGCCCAAACTCAAGGACGTCAAAAGCCGGGTATTTATTTTATTTTATTTCATTTTTTTATAATGAGTTCCTGTGATCTGTCATTATTTTAGTTCTATACTGTTTTCAGAGTATTCTGGATCGTTCCCATTATCCTCATTATCTTCCCCTAACAATAATTTAACTTTAGAGCATATGTTTTTCTTCCTTGCCTTTCTTAGAACTTTTAAATAAAGATAAGCTTTCCATTTTCACTGTCATTTTGCAATCCTCATTTACTCTAGATTTTAGATAATAGATATTGTTTGACTAGACATGAGACTCCTTGGACAATAAGAGTTTAAACAGCCTACAGAATTAGCCATAATGCAAAGGCTGGAGTCTGACCCTAGTGTTGGCTACTTGTAATTTACTGGATTCTGATTGGCAGAGCAGGATTGAATCACCCATTGAGCTAAGCATTTGAATTATTCTTTAGCCATGACAATTGGGCGAGGAGTCCACTGTCCAACTCTGAGCCTGATTAGCATTTGGCTCCACACCCCTGCAGAGCTACCTCTTTGGAAACAAGCAGCCCATATCTAGGCATCCCATGGGGAACACAGAGGGCGCAGGGAGGAAAAACTACACAGGCAAATTAGAATTAGACCCCTGTGAACAGCACACAAAGGCTGCCTTGTGGGAGGGCCTGCTTGCCCCTGGCCTCAGGGTCATAAAGTAGTTTGGTGTGCCTTTTAAACTGGCCCTGATTGTTTTTCACACCATTAAGAACACACATTTTTTGAAAGGTGGGAAGGGAGGGATGGTTTTCTGTTCCAGTCCCTGCTTCCCTTTAGTAGTCAAGCGCCCCCCCCCCCGGCTTTATGCCAGAAAATATTAGGAAACATTTTTTGTTTGTTTGTTTGAGCCATTATCTCAGACAGGGCTTGTCTGTTTGTCTTCCCACACCCGCCCCCCCACCTAAGTTTAGGCTTGTGACATCTCTTTGTATAGCTTGAAATTTAAAAGAATAGCTGAAACAAGAAGAAAACTTGCCAGTGTTAAACAGAATTAGGAGCAGTCTCACAAATTAGAAGAATCATAATCTAACATTTCATATCTCAGCTATGTAAGTTGGTGCAGTGTTATGTAAGTGATTTTCATTTAAGTTTCTCTTTAAACCTAGGATAACGGGATTAATCTGGTGGATTATGTTGTGAAGTATTACCTGCGTTATTATGATCAGGTAAGAAATGCTCACAGGTGGAAAGCAACACTAATGCAGCTTTTACATGGTATATACACTTAGAAATTGGAAAATAGATGAGTTAATTTCAAGGCCAAAGAAGAATCTCTGAGCTCTCCTTGACTCATTCATTTACATATGAGAACACTGAGGACAAGGGAGTTTGGTTCATATATATATCTATATATATATAGATATATTTATAAATTTAATATTCTGTTGACTGTTGAAAAGCAGAGTTACATAGAGAGAGAGGAAGAGAGAGAGAGAGCGCTTCTATCTGTTGGTTTACTACAAAGAACTCTAACAGCTAGGCTGACCGATCCAAACACAGGGGCCAGGGGCTTCTTTAGGTCTTGCCATGTGGTTGCAGAAGCCTGAGGACTTGGGCCATTCTCTGTTCTTTCCAGGCACCTTAGCAAGGACCTGGATTGGAAATGGAGCAGGCGGGACTCCATATGGGAATGCCAGCACCACAGGAGGTAGTTTTAACCTCTATGTCACAAGGCTGACCCCTTGGCTCACTCTTTTGAAGGGAAGCACCGTCCCAATTCTCAACCTACTGTGCAACACAACTTCAGAGGGACCTCCAAGCTGCCTCAGCACATTGTGGCCTCATGTAAAATTTGTATTAACCTAGTTATTGGTTAAAGTTTAAGTTAGACTTTGAGAGGCAGAACAACACTCTCAACAGTTGAGACAGTGATTCCCAATATAGTGCCAGTAATGCAACCCATCTTCTCTGCTTACATTACATTTACAGTTAAAAATAAATCTGTAAGATTTCACCTGGGCACAATTTTCTGTTTCATTCCTTCTTGTTGAGAACAAGCAGTCCTAACTTTGAGAAGAAAGAGGGACTGTTACAAGTTGTTGAGAAACACAGTCATCAATAAGGATGGGCAAGTTGTCCAAAAAAAATGTTGTTAGACCGTGGAGGGAGGAAAAACTCTAGTGTCTAATTTGAAGAAGGTTTATAACTTGACTCAGCAGACAAGCAAGCACTGATGAACAGCCCTCTGGGTAAGCTTATCAAACTTACCAATAGATCTACAGTTCATCCTCCTCACTTCCTTCCTCTTTCCCCCTATTTCTGTTAAAGATATAATTTTTTATTACTCAGGCATAAAGCCTTATACTTCTGATTCACTTACTATACTTCAGCTAAGTTACTGCTGCTCTGTTTCTACTTACTTCTAACCCTGGCTTATTCAGGCTAACAGAATGTTAGTGGCTTCCCAGGTCAGCTCTCATTTCCAGGTGTTGGTTATGATGGGCCATTGCATGTCTTCGTCACATGTAGTTCACACTGGGTTTGTTGTAGGTTTTTTTTTTTTAATCTTTGCTCAAAATAGAAATGGTTCTCCATTTTCAAGTACATTAACACTCTGCCTATGTTAATTCCATTTTTAAGCAACTGTATTTTTATTGCTGTCTCTCAGGAGAGCCTGAGGTTTTTCAAACACAGTCTGTATCCTGATTAATGTGTTTTACTTCTGATGTTGTCTTTAACTGGATCTGTCTTGTCCCAAGCCTTTTTATAAAACTTCCTCTTTTTTTTTTTTCATTAACACTCTCTGGAAAATAATACATTTAATAATGTTTTAGCAAAAAACCTTCCTGGTCTTATCAGCATTTGTGCTATAAGCTTATCTGGAAGAGGATCAACCCATTATAAAGAGATTTACGTAATTTTACAGAGCACCAAAAGAAAAAGGTCTTAAAAATGTAGAGTGAGGCAGAAAAAGCCACACAAACACACACATACACACAGACAAAATCTGTTTAAAAAATGAGCAGGCAAGGCCAGCGCCATAGTCTAGTAGGCCAATGTTCCATATGGGCACTGGTTCAAGTCCTGGCTGCTCCACATCAAATCCAGCTTCCTGGCAGTGTGGTTGGGAAGACAGTAGAGGATGGCCTAGTACATGGACCCCTGTGCCCAGATTGGAGGGCATGGTAAAGCTCCAGGCTTCAGCAAGGCCCAACCCCAACGGCCTGTTGCAGCTACTAAGGGAATTAACCTGCCTGTGAAAGACCCCTTTATTTCTCCCTGTCTCTCTCTGTAATACTGTTTTTCAAAATCAGATAAAATAAAACTGTAAAAACAAATGAGCAGAGACTAGCATTGTGGATTGGCCCATTAACCCACTGCTTGCAATACTAGTATCGCTCAGGAACACCTGTTCAAGTTATGGATGCTCAAGTTCCAATCTAATTAGCATCCTTGCTAATGCTCTGAGAAAAGATTTGCTAAGCACTTGGGCTCCTACCACCTTTGTGGAAGACTCATTTTGTGTTCCAAGGTCCTGACTTTGGCCTGTCCCTGCTCTGGCTGTTATAGGAATTTGGAGAGGAGTTACCAGATGTAAGATATTTCTGTCTTTCCCCCTCTCTCTGTCAGCTGCCTTTTAAATAAGTAAATAATTTTTTTTTTCTTAAAAAGTGGCCATGAATGGTTGTGTGGCCACCTCCTGACTCCAGCTCCGTCTTGCTGGTGTGGACCCTGGGAAGCAGTGGTGATGGCGCAAGTCATTGGGTTTCTTCCACCCATGTAGGACTAAATTCTCAGCTTTCACCGTCAGTCTATTTCCAACCTTGGTCACTCTGGGCCTTTAAGAATTGAACAAGCAGATGGGTACATGATATCTTTTTCCTTCTGAAGTTAATGATTTAATTATTTTTCAAAGGAAAAAAAGTGGGCAGAAGGCAAAGTCATCACATACATGGCCAGTAGTTTAAAAATAAAAATGCTCAATGCCACTAGGGACATACAAATCAAAATCATAGTGCGATATTCTCTTACCCACATTAGATTGGCCATTAATAAATTAACAAGTGTTTGTAGGGATATAGAGAGATTGAAACCCCAGTCACTGATGGGAATGTAAAATGGTGCAGCCACTATGGAAAACAACATAAAGGTTCTTCTGGAAAAGTAGAGATAAATCATTATATGATCGAGCAATCCCAATTTTGTGTGTTTATCAAAAAGAATGAAAACCAGATCTCAAGGAAGTACTTGTGTCCCTGTTGATTGCAGCATAGATGCATTGCACAGCTTCATGGACAAGCAACTGGACAATCACGTGGCATCTTTATGTGAAAATGTTTCTTATAAAGATGCCCTTTATAGAGTATGTAGTGAATAGAGGGTAGACTAGATTAGAACCCTTTTGATATAGAGCCCTTAAGCAGAAACATCAGTTTAAACCCAACCATTTATACCTGATAGACCTGAGAGAGAGATTTACAGTATTACAAGTTATGTATCTTCTGTTTGTTTTTTTGTAAATTGCCTACAATATCTGGCCATCTTTTAAATGAAAGAGAACAAGTTATCTTTTCCTTGTTGATTCTGAAGAGGTCATTATCTCTTTCGTGGTATGTATTTTCCATCATAAGTTATGTAGAAGCTGGCTTTTTAAAAAATCTGCTTGTTTGAAATGTAGAGAGAGATTTTCCACCTATGGTTTCACTCCTGTTGTGGACTTAATAACCACAGTTGGGCTGTCTAAAGCCAAGATCTCCGTGGTGATCTTCCATGTGGCTGGTAGGAAATCAAGTGCTTGGGCCCTGTTCTATTGCTTCCAAGCCTTATTAGTAGAGAGGTGGGTCCACACACAGATGTGGGATGTAAGTGCCTCGAGTGGTGGCATAACTGCTGGACCGCAACGTTGGCTGCTGGACGTTGGCTTTCTTTAAGCCATGATCTTGTCATTACTTATTTGAGAAACAGAAAGTGACAGATGGATAAAGAGAGCTCCTATTCATGTTTAACTCCCCAAATGCTCTCAACATCCTGAACTGGAGGAGGCCACAGATAGAAGCCAGGAACTCAATCCAGTTCTCCCACAGAGATAGCAGGGGTTCAGTCACTTAGTGTGTTGCTCCCTGCCTCCCAGGCTCAATGTAAGTGGGAAACTGGAGTCAGGAATTGAAGCTGAGTATTAATCTCAGATATTCCAACTTCCAATGTGAATATATTAATCAGCATGCTAGTCACTGGGCTAAACATTACATCCCAAGTAATTAAAAAATTTATTGAATTTTTATTTTTTATGATATAGTTCCATAGGGTCAGGATTTCCCTTCCACCCTCCCCATTGCTTCTCCCCACTCACACTGTAATTTTTAAGATCATAAATGTTTGGGCCCTGTGCAGTAGCCTAGTGGTTAAAGTCCTCGTCTTGCACAGGACATGATCCCATATGGGCTCCAGTTCTAATCCCAGTGGTCCTGCTTCCCATCCAGCTCCCTGCTTGTTGCCTGGGAAAGCAGTCGAGGACGGCCCAGAGCCTTGGGACCCTGCACCTGCGTGGGAAACCTGGAAAAAGCTCTAGGCTCTTGGCATCAGATCAGTTCAGTTCTGGCTGTTGTGGTCACTTGAAGAGTGAATTAGTAGATGGAAAACCTTCCTCTCTGTGTATCTTCCTCTCTGTATATCTGACTTTCCAACAAAAAAATATATATATAAATAAATCTTCTCAGAAATGTTTTTGAAGATGTTTATTTAGGAATTAAAATTTTTTATTTTCATGCTTTCATGGCTATTCTCTCCCTTTGTGTTTTTGTCTCCGCTTGAATGCTTTGAAAGAGCTTTGCTACCTCAGCATCAGAACACTGTTTACCTGTATCTCCTTACCGAGTTTTGTGATGTCATGTTTTGTTTGTTTTTAAATATTTTCTTCTCTAGAAGTTTACTTTGGTCTCTGGTATCATGGGGAAATTAGAATTCGATTTTTTCTTCTTCCCAGTTTCTTAAATTTTTTTCTATATCCCATTACTTCATATTTACCTATGTCCGTTTCTATTTCCTACCTTATTAGGTTTTTAAACATATTATTCCATAATTACTTTCTGTCCCATTAACACAAATTTATGTAGGTCTATTTCTGAGATTTCCTTTCCATTTTCTTGAAGTTTGAAATCTGTTGTTCTATAACTGCGGACTTTTCATGGTTATAGCTTTATAAGACACTATCCACTCTGTTTTAAAATTCTGATCAAACTGATAATTATTTGTACAAGTAACATTTAAAATAACGTTTCCAATTCCTGGGATTGGGTGGTTTGTAACTCGTATAGCCTTTAGAGGCAGTATTGTTGGCTCCGTGCGCAGTGCTGCACAGCAGATCTCTACAGCTCTTTCATCCTCCATTGAACACCAACGTCCAGTCCCTTTCCCCTCCCCCTTTATAACCAATGTTCCACTTTCTACAAGTCGGACTGTTTTAGATATTCCTAAGTAGAATTATGCAATGCTTGTACCTCTGTGACCAGATGATTCTCAGCATAATAGCTTCAGATTTGAGCCATATATGGCATGTGATAAAATTTCTCCCTTCTTCCTTTTTACTGTTAAATAGTATTTCAGTGTGTGTAACACAATGTGTCATCTCAAGCAGGTGAGCATCAATATGAAGGAAAAACCCAGAAAGCTACATACTAAAATGTGTGTTTCTGGGTGTTAGAATTATAATATTCTTTTTCTTTTTCTTTTTTTTTTCAATTACCAAACATATTGAACATATATTTCCTGTGAAAAGTGGAAATGAATATACTCAAAAGCCATGCCAATCTTGTGTGACCCTTTGCTTACATTCTTGGCTTTGAAGGAAAGCTTTGAAGTTCTCATTTGTCAAACATGGGAATATTCTATTTGAATCTCTGTGATGCATTATACACTGCCTGTGCTATAGATACACAGGGCAATCACCTATCATCTTGGCATTGCTATTTGAACTCCAAGAGTTCTAATTTTATTTAGTGTCTATAATGTATCTGATAAATACTCAATATTTGCTGACATGGACATTATATGAAAATCCATACTGTGAGAAGGTGAGCTGTGCTGCCATCTGGAGGAAGGAAGTAAGCACACTGAGTGCTTTGAAGGAGGCAGTGGCAAGCTCAGATGTGTATGTCCTAGTTCTGAGAGTAGGTACCAGTACAGCGGAAGAACTGTGTGAAAGCATCTGACATAGTTGACATGGGTAGATTTACCTGGTAGTATTTGTCTTTATCAAGCAAAATACATTGCTTCTACTAGAAGTCTTAAATCTGCCTATGAAACATGAATCTCCTAAAGGAGAGATAAACCCAATGGAGTCAGCATCACAGAGGACAGTCTTAGGATAGTTTTCAAACACGGGATGATCCAGCATAAGAAAAACTTAAGGATTCTACATTTGTGTCGCGCTCTCCTGGCTTTCACGGTGCAAAATGCATTTCACTCAGCAAGAGTGTAGGATTCTGTGATTTATGACACCATCCCTTCCCCCAGACAGCATAAGTGATGATTTTTGTGGTCAGTGGCAATGAGCAATTAGCTGAAGAAAGGTGACTCCTGCTCCAGGCTTGCTTCTACTCATGCCTGCTTTTTGGGTACAAGTCCATGTCTGCAGAGTTTCAAGAAATCACATAGAGTCAGGTCTTTTGAACTCTAACTGAACAGCTTTCACAAGAATTGCTACCAGACCTCTCACTCAGCTTCATTTTCTCTTTTTCTAGCTTGGAAAGAAAAAAAAAATTTTTTTTTGAAACCAGGGCTAAGTTTGATAAAACATTCTGGAAACCAGAAGGAGATTTTTTTTTTTCCCATCCAGTGTAGATTATCATGGAGCTTTGTGGCAAGCCTCTTAGATATTGTTCCATCTTGGAATTCATCTTGAGTGCTGCTGCCATTGTTTGTGAAGTAGTAAAATAAGTAAAGGAAGATGGGAAAAAAATGTTGGTACGCTGTGTTCTGATAAAATGAAGAAAGCCATGCTCTCCTAACATTCAGAGTTAAAACTGGGGCCCAGTGCTGTGACGTAGCAGGTAAAGTTGCTGTCTCAGGTGCTAGGACCCCATTAGGTACTGGTACGAGTCCCAGCTGCTCCACTTCTAACCCAGCTCCCTGCTAATGTGCCTGGGAAAGCAGTGGAAGACGACCCCAAGTGCTTGGGGCCGTATGCTCACGTGGGAGACCTAGAAGAAGTTCTTGCCTTTGAATTGGCTCAGATGGCTTGTTATGGTCATTTGGGGAGTAAATCAGAGGATGGAAGATATCTCTCTCACTCTTTGTGTCTCTCCCTTTCTCTCTTTGTAACCCTACCTTTCAAATAATTAGTAAATATTTTTTAAATGTTAAAACTTTAGGTCTTAATAGAAATGGAAGAATCCAGGGAATCCCTGAAACATTAAAAAAAATAGGATCAATGAGATGTCTTGTGCTAAGGGCCTAAACACCCCAGAACACTGTTACTGTACAGGCTCTCGGTACCAGTGCCCACCCAGTTTGTTGATATGGTGATGCTGGGAACAAGACACAGTTTCTTCCTTTGTGATGTTTATAATCTGGTGGGAAAATGTAGAGGCTCCCCTGGGAGATTCTGAAACTGCAGTAAATTAAAAGTGGACGAGGAGAATGAATGTGAACAAGAAACTAGGAGGGAAGCCTTTGGAAAGGTTGTAAAGAGAAAGCTCTCTAGGTAAAACCCTAGAGGCAGAGCACCGTGGCATGTCCTGTCACTTCATGAAGATTTGGGGGCGGGAGTTGGCGATAGGGGAAAGTAGAAATGCGGCTGGAGACGAAGATGGAGGCCAGATTATAAAGTGCCTTGTAAAGCAGTTCAGAGTTTGGAATGAGTCCTAATGGCAGTAAGGGAAGATGGAATGTCAAGGAAAGCGGGCCAAGCAGCCCGTGTGGAAAGAGGAATAACTGAAGACTGCCTAAGATATGCAAGATGCAAAGCTTACATTAAACAACACAGAGAGAAAGCAGGCTAAGCGGGAAGATAGCTGAGGTTCAGCTTATATTTCAGTGTTCCTGAAGATTTTGTCACTTAAAATGTTTCTCAGCATAGATCCTCCATTAGGTATAGCTGTGGAGTTTGTCAAAACCATACCCAATCATGCTCTTAGAAAATATCTCTTAAGATGAGCCTAGCAAAGGGTTACAATTGTAGGAAGAATTTGATGTCTCTCTCTCTCACTCACTCACACCACACACACACACACACACACACACACACACGCGCGCGCGCGCACACACGAACATTTAGCTGTAAAAAAAAAAAACCAAAACAAAACAAAACAAAAACAGATAAAGGCTATTTTTCCTTTCACTATGGTACCTTCTTATCCAGAACCTCCAATACACGCCTATTGGCATAGCCCCAAAGATGAGTTATCTAATTGCTAGCAGGTGTAACTCAAACAGGGACTTTAAATTTCAAGCGTCTTTATGTGTTCCCTGTTTATCTTTTTCTATGGGAGTGAAGTATCCAAGATCAGGATGTGCTTGACAGTTTTTCTTTTGTTTCATGAAGCAAAGTCAATGCCACTCTCAATACCAAGAGGTGTGAAAGACACAGAAGTATTTCAAAGGAACCAAGTCCAAACTTGGGGATACAGAGAAGCAGTGCTGTGATTCTTAACCAAACATCCAATAAAAACTATTTTTCTCTCACTAATTGATTTTTGAAATTTTGACTGAAAGCAATGATTGGAAAGTCTGATGTACATTGGTTTGTCATATCTTTTAGGAAGCTGGAACGGAAAAGAGCGTTTTCCCTCTGCCTGAACCACAAGATTTTTTTCTAGCTTCCCAAGTCAAGTTTGAAGACCTCATAAAAGATTTGAGAAAATTAAAGAGACAACTAGAAGGTAATAGAAACTATTCTGCTATTATGATAATAACTGAGATTACTTTGTAAAATGCTTTAAGAGAATTATTTACTCCTGACTCACAAAGGGGAACTTGTGCAGAGTTCCGTTATGGGACACAGCAGCCCTCAAGAAGCTTGCTGTATCTCTGCCCTGTGTGAAAGCATTGACTTAAGGTGGCCCTCTCTGTTATTGCTGCTCATCGTTGGTTTATCATATCAATATATTTTACCATTTACGTTTTCTAGTGTTTAATAGTCACTGCTTTAATAATAAATAACCATCATTTATTAGAAACTTACTGTTCTCTCCTATAATCCTTTTTTTTGAAGATTATTTGTTTGAAAGAATGGCACAAAAAGAAAAAGACAGAGATTTTCCTTTTGCTGGTTCACTCTCCAGTGGTCTCATCAGCTGGAGTTGGGAGCCGTGATCTCCGGTCACATTTCCCTTGTGAGTTTCTCACAATGAATGATGTGGACTCAAGCACTTGACTCATCATACGCTGCTTTCCAGATGCACTGGGGGGTACTGGATTGAATGTGGAATAGCCAGTACTGCGACTCAAACTCTAAATAGGGCATGCCTGTGTCCCAATTGGTGGCTTAACTCACTGTGCCACAATACCTATCCTCATATAATTCTTATAGTAACCCTAGTAAGCAGAAAATATATTAACCCCCAGTATACAGGGGAGAAAAGTTATGTCTGGAGAGCTCATGTTCACAGACGTTAAGAGACAGATGTACTGCATTCTAATTGGTTCTATCCATTTGGGACTCAGATGTTTTATTAGCTAGCTTTCTGTACTACTTTATACATACAACGTGTGTACCCCCATGCCCACATACATGCCCTTATGTATGGTTTGTGTATGTGAGTCTAGTGATGATGGTAAGGCCCACTGTAAACATTCTACTTCAGTTGCATTTGCATTTTTAATCATTGAAAGCAAAATACTGAAAGCTCCTTTTTGGCTTTTACAGGAGGTGAAACCATGTCTTACTTGGGCAGGAATTTTCCTTTGGCATTTCTAGAGTCTTGTGTTTTCACTGAGGAGACATGTCCTTGTCCAAGCTATAAATACTTGCCTTGGAGCTTGTATAACTCCCATTGAAGAGCCCCGTGGAGGACTTAGGGAGCATGTTCCTGTGGAAATGGAGCCCCAAGTGCCAAAGGGGGAGCTTGAGGAAATGAAGAACTTCAACCAGGAATATTTTTACACCAAGACATAAGATAAACATTTTAAAAATGTTTATTGTGAAAGAGTACTCAAAAACTAAGTCTTAGACAGAGAACAGCTTGGAAATGCACATTAAGTGGGAAAGATCTGCTCTCAGTGGCAGAGAGCGCCATTTATTTTTACTTTGGGCATAAAACCTGCTTAAATAAGGATAGTGGTTACAACTGAATATTTTTACCTTGTAAATTATCTTTAAAGGAACATGTGTGTTTCTTTTCTGCTGTTGATGTGGTTTAAAGAGTGAATTTAGCCAAATGGATACTTTGTTCAGGGAATGTGATATGTGAACTTGTGGTGATTCTCTCTCTGTCCCACTGCTAGAAGACCGACCAGTTTTATCCTCATTTGAGATGACCAGTTTGCTTTGCGCCGTAATAACGCAGAGTGAAGCCATCTTATGGCAGTTTGCTCAATCCCTCTCCAATGACAGGGTCAGGCTCAGACCAGTCCTCCCTGTGGTAGTGAGTGTCAGCAGTGGAGGAGTTTGTCTCCTCTCTGGTCTGTCCCTGAATGCTCATCCTTCTTGCCTTCCAGCCCCTTAGCCTGACCTTTCTTGTAGTCGCTTGAACAGAAACCTGATCTCTGTTTGATCTTTTCTTCTTTTCCTTCCAGGGCTTACCTCCCTTGACATGAGGAGTCAGAAGATAAATAGCAGGGGGACCAGAAGTGCGAGTCCTAAGGGGGGTGGAGAGAGAGGCAGGGGTTCCCCCAGAGCTCCTCACTTCAGCACACCTCATTTTGTCTAAGGAGGCTCCCAAAGTTCAAACCTCTCAGTGCTCAGCTAACACTGGCCTAGTTGAACAAAATGCAACAGCTTCTGAACTATCTGTCACTGCTTTAGGAGTTTTCAGCAGGAAAACTGAACATGGTCTCAGGTGCTTTTGTTGTCTGTACCGAGCTTTCCCAGAAGCCAAGAAGTCCCGCAAGGCAGATGAGGAAATGACTCCCCCACCCCACCCCACACACATTGAATATTTAAACAAAAATGCCCTGCTAATCTTTAGAGATGCCAGTGTTTCTCACACATGAAAGGTACCCAGTAAATATTTAAAGAAAATACAAACCATGGGTTCTCTAATGAATTTCTTTTTCTTCTAAGTACCATCTGGCAAGATGACTAGAATGGTGGCGGTCCGTTTCATCTCTCGTTCTCATTCAGGTTTCACCTCCTTTTCCATAAGTCCTTGGTGTGAGCTGAGATTGAATGTTTAATTGAAGAGGACATAATTTTCACACATACAGCAAAGATTTGATGAGGCTTTGAGGTTTATTGTAGCCATTAAAATGTCGTGGCTGCTGGCAAAATCCCAGAAAATGTCTAAAGCTAAACCAGATGTGATTAGCAAATTTCAAGAAGTATCGGGCCCCATTTTTCCAGGCAGGAATGACCCTTTAGCCTAGAAAACACTTTGAGTTGCTTTAGCCACACCTTAATAGGATGTGAATTAACCGATGGTTGATGGTCACATAAATGTCACTGGTGGAAGTAGAGGTTGTCAAAAAAGTGTCTTTCAGAGAGAGATGAGAACTTGCAATAGTGTTTTTACACTGGTAAATATACCAAATTATGGATAATCGCATCAACTATGGATCTGTAGTGTGATTGTTATCTATCAGTTGTTTTATATAAAATGTGTGTTGTAATCCTTACAGTACTCTCACAAAGCTAATATTTTTACTTTCGCACAAGAAAAGGGGACTAAAGTTCTGATTCCTTTCCCAAGTTGTAAAGTTAAAATTTTTAATAATTAAAAAGTTTTTATATTTTTTGAGGTAGCAGAAAAAAGGGTGTACCTACCAACGTGAGTCTCCACCCAGTGGTTCACTGACCCAAATGCCCTCAATAGCCAGTGGTAGGCCATGGCCAAACCCAGGAGCCAGTAACCCGATTAAGTCTTCCACATGGGTAGCAAAGACCTGGTTACTTGAGCAGTCATGCACACCATGGTCTAAAAGCCTGTATTCGTGTGGGAAGCTGGACTCAGGAAGCAGATCTGGGAGACAAACCCAGATGCCCTGATGTGTGTGTGTCTAAATCGCTAGGCTAAGCATCTCCTAAAGTCAAAGTTTTGGTGTTTGGGAGCATAGTCTATGTTTTGTTTCCTGTCCTATACCCCTCAATCAATAATTTTGATTTCCCTGATACCATGACATCATCTGGAAGAGTTGGGGAACCACATATAACTATAATAGCTTCTTTTTCACTCCTTGGTTTTGTTTGCTGCCTCAAACTCTTTTTGTATTCTTACCAGTTCATATATGATAGGCAGAATAATGACCCCCCCAAAGGTATCCAAACCCTGATTTCTATAATCTCTGTTACTTTATATGGCAAAAAGGACATTGCCAATGTTAAGTTGGGGTTATTATCCTAAATGGTGCAAATGGGCTTCGTACAACCCTACAAAGCATTGCTGAGACCATAGAGAATTTCCCAAGTAGTGGTCACTACCAGTATTGCATGAAATATGAATCGATGCTTTCCACAGATGAATGTATGGTCCAGTAGATCTGGAAATGCTTTACAATAATGTACATCTTACCATAGGGATTCACAATGTACTTGAGCTTATTAAAAGCTCTGAAAGGGCCTGGCACAATAGTGTAGCAGTTCAAGTCCTCGCCTTGAATGTGCCAGCATCCCATACAGCTGCCGGTTCTAATCCTGGAAGCTCCACTTCCCATCCAGCTCCCTGCCTGTGGCCTGGGAATGCAGCTGGGAACAGCCCAAAGCTTAGGGACTCTGCACCCATGTTGGAGACCCGGAAGAAGCTCCTGGCTTTGGACTGGCTCAGCTCGGGCTGTTGCAACCGCTTGGGGAGTGAACCATTGGAAAGAAGATCTTCCTCTCTGTCTCTCCTCCTCTGTATGTCTGCCTTTCCAATAAAAATAAATAAATCCTCTTTTAAAAAAAAAAAAGCTCTGAGAAATCTTGTAAATTAAAAAAAAAATGTTAACTTTGCCTAAAAAAGTATTTCCAACTTAAAACATGGAACATTGGTTTCTCTTATTATTTACTTTCATTAAATACTTAGAAATGCTTTACAGTACACTCTGAAAAGTTCCTCAAGAGTGAATATTGATACTATAAAATTTTCTACAAAAGTTACTTACTTGAAAGGCAGAGTTACAGAGAAAGAGAAAGACACAAACCCACACACACACACACACACCCCTTCTATTCCACTGGTTTACTCCCAGATTCCCACAACAGTTAGGTCTGGGCAAGCTGAAACCTGGAGTCAGTAACTCCATGTTAGTCTCTCTTCTGGGTGGCCAAGCCCCAGTTACTTGAGCCATCATCCACTGGCTCCTCAAGTATATTGGCAGGAAACCTGAATACGAGCAGCCAGGTCTCTAATCAGCATTCTGATATGTGTTACTGACATTACACGTGTAAGCCCACTGTGCTACAATACTGGCACCATAACATGATATTTTTTAGGTAATAGCTGTTGGCTAAGTAATCATTCCTGAATCCCTTCATTGGAAGAGTTAAGATGAACATTTATAGCCTTTGCTCTTAAATATTTCTCTTGATACTCCCTTGGCTGCACTGTCCTTGTCTAATTTGTTATTCATATAAACAAATAGAATGAGTCAAATATCTGAGCTCTTGATGCTTGAAAATGAAAATAAGTAACACTATTGTTATTTGAAATTACCTTGCTATAGTGTACCCCTTATACACACTTGTTTGACATAATTCTGTGATAATATTTTAGTTAAAAAAAAATTCATTCTGGCTGTGAAGATA